TGTATTATAGAAATACATATTATATATAATATAATTATAGAATGAGAGTATATTAAATAAATATACTGTATAAAACTATATATAACATAAATATAGAAAGATTGGCCAATAAATAGAGAAATTGTACAGGTATTATATAAATATACATAATATAACTATGGAATGAAAGTATATTAAATATACTGTGTAAATCTATATATAATATAAATATAGAAATATTGGCCACTAAATATATAAATTATACAGGTATTATATAAATATATAATATAACTATGGAATGAAAGTATCTTAAATAAATATACTGTATAAAGCTATATATAACATAAATATAGAAAGATTGGCCATTAAATAGAGAAATTGTGCAGGAATTATATAAATATATATTATACATAAATATATAATATAAATATAGAGTGAAAGTATATTAAATAAATATACTGGATAAAACTATATATGACATAAATATATAAATATTGGCCATTAAATAGAGAAATTGTATGTGTATTATATAAATATATTATATATATGATATATGAATATATATCATATACATATGTAATGAAAATATATTAAAATATACTGTATACCATTATACATATACATATTTTACGTAATATAAATAGACAAATATTGGCCATTAAATAGACAAATTGTCCATGTATNGGTGCTGAGATCCCACAGAGGGACACCTCCCACCATCCCAGGCTGCTCCAAGCCCCAACGTCCAGCCTGGCCTTGGAACTTCCAGGGATCCTCTGGGCACCTCCCCACCCTCCCAGGGAACAATTCCTAATTCCCAATATCCCATCCATCCCTGTTCTGGCTGTGGGAGCCATTCCCCTTTGTCCTGGAATTTAATGCTCTCATTTCCAGAGTGAGTAAGTTTGGGAATTCCAGAGCCATAGTGGTCTTTTAGAGCATTTTGATCCCAAAGGCTTCCCAGAAACAGCTGGTTTGGAAGGAAATGAGCACAATGGTGACGTGACTTGATAGAGTTCACTCAAGGAATTAGTGTCAGTTCAAGGAATGTAAAAAATTTCTGTAATTTCCTATTTAAAACTCAATATACAAGACCACAAACGTGAATTTGCAGCTTTAGAAGTGCAGACTTCGCCTGAAATGAGCCTGTTTTGTGAATTCTAAGGTGAAATGGGAATGACAGAATGTATTTCATGTGGGGGTGAAAGCAAAGCAAAGTGCATCAGGTAAACTGAGCTGCACCTCTGTCTCTGAAAGCAATTTATGTAACTCTGTGGTTTTTCAGTCCTGCTTTAGTTGCCTGGGTTTTGGGTGCAGTTTGGGTTTGATGTCACAAATAAACCCATTTCCTGCTGCTCCTTAGCTGCAGGAAGCACAAACAGCTGATTGTATTACAGAGGTTTCCTATCTGCTTGCACTGCTCACAGCTTTATCAGTGACAAATGATGTTTATTCCCTTCTCTGCAGATCCTGCACCACCACATCTGCAGCGTGGAGAAGCTGCCCCTGACCACAGCTGGGTACCCCCTGCTCATCCACTGCAAGAACTTCCACGTGGCTCACTTTGTCATTGGGCAGGAGAGGGACTGCCACGACGTGTTCACCTCCCTGCTCAAGCTCTCCCAGCCAGGTCAGGGCTTGGGAGCTTGGGAATGTGTCCTGGGAACGTCTGCAATGCTCCAGGCTGAGCCCTGGGAAAGCTCTGCTGCTTTGGGAGGGAGGAGTGGGATCACAATCAGCATCCAACACAGGGACAGTGGCAGGGCTCAGGAGCTGAGCTCTGTGGAGCAGACACTGCTTCCAAACCAAACACAGTGTTGGGAGCCAAGGAGATGGAGAGAGATTGTTGACAGGAGCCTGGAGTGACAGGACAAGGGGGGATGGATTCACACTGACACAGCAGGGTCAGCTGGGGATTGGGAAGGAATCTTTCCCTCTGGGGGTGGGCAGGCCTGGCACAGGGTGCCCAGAGCAGCTGTGGCTGCCCCTGCATCCCTGGCAGTGCCCAAGGCCAGGCTGGACACTGGGACACCCTGGGACAGTGGGAGGTGTCCCTGCCATGGCAGGGGTGGCACTGGATGTGCTGTTGCCACCCAAACCTCTCTGTGATTTTGTCACTCTCGGGCAGTGGGAGTGACGTGGTGTCCCCACGAGGAACTTCTGGAGAGCTGTGCCAAGTTCATATCCCTGACCTGGGCACTGCCAGTCCCTTGTGCCACCCAGCTGTTGGCTGTGTGCAGTTCTGCCCTTTGCAGCTGATCCAGGCATTCACAGAATTCCCAAACCCCACAGTTTGGCATCTTGGCTGTGCATCCAGCAGTGTGGTTAGGCTGCTCTGCAGTGTTTGCTCAGTGCAGCCTCTGCTTCACCCTGCCCTGACTTGGAGTCACTCTTGCAGTGGGAGCCAGACACCCTCAAATTGCTTTTTTCTAGCTCCAGCCTTTTATTCCAGCATGGATGAATCTGCAGGCTTTTCTTGCAGGACAGCATTCCACTGAGCTCCTACCTGGCTTCTGCCTCTGGCAGCCTCTGCTTTTGGGATGCTGGAACCCATTTTGGAGTTGTGTTATTACAAGGATGTCATTTGTAGTTGCAATTAGTGATGGTGTCACCAGGCTGAGGGAGGGGAATTAATGGCACCAGGGCTGGGCTGGATATCCTGTAGGAGAAATGGGCTTTGCCCACTTTAGGTGGTTTTTAATTTGATATTAAGGGCTGTGTGTACTCCCAGCACCCCCCTTGTGCTCTTTGGAGTTATTTTAGTTCTGAAGTTCTGCCTCTGATGCTGTAGCTGGCAGGTTTGTGGTGTTCTATTTAAAAGCTGTCACTGGTTTTTGAGGTTGAAAATTAGAGGTCTGGGTGGTGCCTGATGTGTGGGAGGTGTCACTGCAGGGGCTCACACCAGTTTCCTTTGGTCTCTGCTTAACTGTGTAAATGCTGTAGCTCTTTCTTTTCTTCTGCTTCTTGATTGTAACGGCACATTTTTGTTGTTTTAAGCTGTCTGAGTGTGCTCCCTTCATGGATTTTTGGCAGAGCACGTCATTGCTGGTTATTTGCACACATGTGATGGACAGCTCTGGGTTACCTGCTCAGTACCCAGCTGCTTTCTCAGCCTCTGACAGGTTTCCCTCTGTCTCTGGAGCTGCCTTGGGAATCAGCTGGATGAGTTATTGGTTGGATTTGCATTTTGTGAAGAGAGGGAAGGAGGTTGGGATGGTAAATGGGCACTTGTCAGAGGCAGCCTGAAGCCTTTGTTGGGCTGACTGCAATATTCCAGACATCCCTCACGTTTTCCAGTCTCAGAATTTGTTGCTGAGCAATGACCTTCAGGTGTGCAGGGGCTGTTGTATGAACTCTCCACAGAAAACAGATCTTTTAGTCCATGTTTTAATGGTGATGATATAAATCCCATCTAAATGCTTACTACAGTGAATTCAGGAGGAAATCATTAGTTTAGGAAAAATTATTTCTACCAGCTTAGGTTAAAAGACTTTGTTAGAATTAATGTATCTCCCTGCATTTGGGAACTGAGTATTGGAAATTCCTGAGGATTTCAGGATGAATTTCAGCACTTGGTACTATCCCAAACCAAAAATTATAAAAGGTTGAGAAGTCTTAAATACTTTGAATACTCCTCTGTAGCACTCAATCATTGATTTCCAGAAGTTTTGGCCTCCTTGGGTGTCTTTGCATCTCTAACTTGTTGAATTTTTTCTTTCTCCTCCCCAGTGAAACCTGAAGAACTTTATGCTTTCTCTTACAACCCCAAAATGTCCAGAGAGAGCCGGGAGATGGGCTGGAAGCTGATAGATCTGAAACTGGATTATCAGCGCATGGGGATCCCCAACGACTGCTGGGAGATCACAGACATTAACAAGGACTATGAGGTAATTCCTGCCCTGTGGTTATTGATGACAGCCCTGCACTGCCTCTGGGGAGGAAGGAGCTCTCTCAAGCCCTTCATTGTGATGGGGAGTTGCAGCTGATGCTCCAGGAGAGTCACCTGGTTGTGTTTGATCCCCCTGGCAAGGGAGCAGAGCCTTGTTTTTCTGCAGAAATGTCAGCCCATCTGTTAGGCAAAGCCTCAAGTACTCTGAGCTGCTTTTGGTATTTCCAAAGCCTGTCCCACCTGGCTGGTGACAGATGTGGAGGAGAGAAGGAAATGGCAGCAGTTTGGATTGGTGGGAAATGAGGCAGAGTGGAGAGGGACTAGGGAAGGGAGGAAGGGAAAGCAGCAGTGGAAAACAGAGCCTTTTTTGCTTTTTTGAGTTGGATCTTCTACTACCTAAGGGCCCTCTGTCATTTCAGTCTGAGCTGCTTGCTGCTGTTATTTTCCCTGAAAGGCCAACTTGGATCTAAACAACATGAAACAAAAGCATTTGTCAGCAAGCTTGTTCAAAATCCTGCTCCACATTATTTCCCTTTTTATTTCCTCTGGGGCTGTGTGCAGTCAGACCTGGCTGTTGAAAAGCAAGGCAAGCAACTTCAAGGAAGGCACCAACATATTCATAACCCTGAATCCTTTCCCTGGTAACTTTCTTTACTTTAAGCTCAGGATTGAGGAAATCCAAGCCTGTGCTGTCAGAGGTGGCTGCCACTTTTACCTGCCTGTGCCTGTGGGGCCTGAATTGAGCTCTGATGTGAGAGGTGCTGCTTCCAGAACTGCTGTGGCCTCTCAAATCAGCAACCACCCAGAGGCTCTGCTTGCTGCAGTGGAACTCTCAGGTGCTTTAGAGTTTCCTCACAGTTTCTAGCCTGTGTTTTGGAGTTGTCAAGCCTGATGTAAAGCCAGCCTTGGAGAGCAGCTCATCTGTGAAGTCCATGCTGCACAGGCTGTGCTTGTTGGAGGAGGAAGGATGGAGCTGTTCTCTGAGGATTCCACCTGAGTGCTGGAAGTGACTTCCAAGTTGCATAACATTTAGAGAGAACTTTGTAAATAGTGTTAATTTCTTTTTTGGAAAAAGAATGGAAAGGAGTTCTTGGCTGTGAGGGTGGGCAGGCTCTGGAATAGAATTCCCAGAGCAGCTGTGGCTGCCCCTGGATCTCTGGCAGTGTCCAAGGCCAGGCTGGAGCAGCCTGGGATATCCCTACCCATGGCAGGGTGTCAGATGCCTTTAATGTCCCTTCCAACCCAACCCATTCTGTGAGTCTAATTTAGAAACTTCCATGACATTTCTGCCTTTAAAGAACTTCTTGAAACTGCTTTGTGTCCAGTTTTTAGGTTCAGCTGCAGCGTTGATTGTTTCCTGCATTGTTTTCCTGAACATCTCATAACCTAACAAGCCAGAGATGAATTTTTCACGAATTTTGAAGTGCTCAGGAGCAATATGTGGTTTTTTTGCTCTGTTCTCCCTCAGGTTTGCAGCACATACCCTCCTGAGATCGTGGTGCCTCGAGCTGCCAGCAGGGCCGTGGTGATGGGGAGTTCAAGGTTCAGGAGCCGAGGGCGGATTCCGGTGCTTTCCTACTTGTACAAGGAAAACAATGTGAGTGCTTCACTGCCTGGGGGGAGTGAGGGCTCTCCTTTCTGTCCACTTCCCTTCTAATGGAAGGAAAGAATAAGATAATTATTAGATTGGAGGCCTTTGAGAGCTGTGCTTCTCTTAATGGCTTTCATTCTGAGTCACAGAATGAGCTGAAGGCAAACACTTGGAATGCATCCAGAGCTCTGCCAAAAGCACAGACTTTCCAAGCTTCCTTTCTTAATCAGCTTTCAGCAATCCCTTCTGATGGGGGGTTTTTTAATCTCCTCTTTAGCTATATTGAATAATGTTTTACCAAGTTATATGTTGACTTGGCTGGATTTTCTTAGTATTGAAGAGGAGGAACCACCCTGAAATAAATCCCCACTAGTTCAGAATAAGTGAAGGTTTCATTTTTTTTTTTTCCACTGAAGACCAGAATGTAAATTTGTAACTTTGCTGCCTCAGCAGTGTTTCAGATGCTGATCTTAGGAAAATTCAGTCACAGCCAAATTGTTGTTTTCCTGAGGAAGCGTGCCTTGACCTGGGCACTGCCTGGAGCTGTGCTGGAAACCAATGAAATTTCCTTAAAATACACCCTGTGCTGCTCTGAATGTCCAACAGCAACTGATAACAAAAACTTCAAAGAATGGTTTGGAATAGAAATCAGATGGAAAACATGAGAAATTGCTGCCTTCCAGTACTTTCAGGAGGCTCATGGAAAGAAGGGAGAGGGATTTTTATATGGGAACCTAGTGGCAGGGCAAGTGGGAATGGTTTTAAACTGCCAGAGAGCAGGGTCAGTGGGATATTGGGAAGGAATTGTTCCCTGGCAGGGTGGGCAGGCCCTGGCACAGGTGCCCAGAGCAGCTGGGGCTGCCCCTGGATCCCTGGCAGTGCCCAAGGCCAGGCTGGAGCACCTGGGGATAGTGGAAGGTGTCCTTGCCCATGGCAGGGGGCAGAATGAGATATTTTGAAGGTCTTTTCCACCCAACCATTCTGGGATCCCATGAAGTGCTGACATTTGGGGTGGTGACCATCAGGCAGAGCAGGTGGAGCCTCCTCACCCTCACTACTGCAAGTTCAGCAAAATTGTCACTTTGTGGAATGGCCCAGTGTGTGTCCAGTGACTCTGAGGGCTGTGGGGCAGGAGNAAATATTGGCCATTAAATAGACAAATTGTCCATGTATGATATAAATACATTTTATATATATTATAACTTTAGAATGAAAGTATATTAAATAAATATACTGTATAAAATTATACATATACATATTTTATGTAATATAAATGTTGGCCATTAAATAGAGAAATTGTACAGGTATTATATAAATCTATATTATATAACTATGGAATGAAAGTATATTAAATATACTGTGTAAAACTATATATAACATAAATATAGAAAGATTGGCCAGTAAATAAAGACATTGTACAGGTATTATATAAATATATATTATACAAAAAATATATAATATAAATATAGAGTGAAAGTATATTAAATAAATATACTGTATAAAATTATACATATACATATTTTATGTAATAGAAATAGACAAATATTGGCCATTACATATAGAAATTGTACATCTATTATATATAAATATATAAACATGTATATAATATACATACACAATGAAAATATATTAGATAAATATACTGTATAAAATTATACATATACATATTTTATGTAATATTAATATTGGCCATTAAATAGAGAAATTGTACAGGTATTATATATAACTATAGAATTAAAGTATATTAAATGAATACACTGTATAAAACTATATATATAACATAAATATAGAAATATTGGCCATTAAATAGACAAATTGTCCATCTATTATAGAAATACATGTTATATATAATATAAATATAGAATGAAAGTATATTAAATAAATATACTGTATAAAACTATATGTAACATAAATATAGAAAGATTGGCCATTAAATAGAGAAATTGTACAGGTATTATAGAAATATATTGTATGTAAATATATAATATAAATATCTTAAATAAATATACTGTATAAAGCTATATATACATCACATACATATAGAAATATTGGCCAGTAAATGGAGACATTGTACAGGTATTATATAAATATATATTATACATAAATATATATAATATAAATATAGAGTGAAAGTATCTTAAATAAATATACTGTATAAAACTATGTATGACATAAATATATAAATATTGGCCATTAAATAGACAAATTGTCCATGTATGATATAAATACATTTTATATATATTATAACTTTAGAATGAAAGTATATTAAATAAATANGAGGCTGAAGCTGAGCCCAGGGGTTCAGGGGCAGGAGCAGAGGCTGAAGCTGAGCCCAAGGGCTGTGGGGCAGGAGCAGAGGCTGAAGCTGTGAGACCAAGGGTTTGGGGCAGGAGCAGAGGCTGAAGCTGAGCCCAGGGGTTCTGAGGCAGGAGCAGGGCACTGGCAGCAGGCTGACCTGTGTCTGTGTGTCTGTCTGTGTGTCTGTGTGTCTGTCTGTGTGTCTGGCCGGGTTCAGCGCGCGCTGCCTGGAGGACGAGCAGATGCTCCAGGCCATCCGAGAGGCCAACCCCGGCTGCCCCTTCATGTATGTTGTAGACACGAGGCCAAAGGTACCTCCATGGGCTCTGGGCTGCTTTTGAATCCCTTATGTGACTGTGCAGTGCTGTTTCCAGTTCATTCTGTCACCATTCTGGGGCAGTCAGTCCTGCAGAGCAATGTGGGATTGGGCTCCTGCTCTAGGGTGTACAAATGGAATGTGAGTTGATCCTGAGGATTTTTGCCTCCTGGAGTATCCTGGGTTTGAGGTTTGACGAGGTCTCTTGGGTTGAGATGACCCTGAGGTGTTGGAAAGTCTCTTTTACCCAGCCCTGAGACTGAAGAAGAAGACAGGATTCCTCAGCTCTTGTTCTCAAAGCTCTTTATTTTCTCTTATCTAATACATTATCTGTCTAGCAGGTTGAGTTGGATCTTCTACTACCTAAGGGCCCTCTGTCATTTCAGTCTGAGCTGCTTGCTCAGACCTCTGAGGTCTGTCTAGCAGGTTGAATTGGGGCACAGTTCCTGCCCTTTTATACTAAAAACTCCATGGACTTTATTTACAATAATTTTCCAATACCTGTCACCTGTGTTAGACAGTCTGTCTCTACTCTAAACCAATCCCAAAGTGCCACCATCCCAGCAGAAGATGGAGGACAAGAAGAAGAAGGAGAAAGACAGGACATGCCCAGATTCCTCCATCTTGCCTCCTGAACCCCCATTCTAAAAAACCCCAAAATTCTACATTTTCACCCTGTGATAAATTCACTGCCATTCTACTCAAACTCTTGTGGCTTGTACATCTTCACACAAAGTTGGGAATTGTTCCCATGGGCTAAAACCAAAGGCAGAGGTGTTTGTGACTCTGGGCCAAGGTCTCTGAGCCCCTGGCAGGGTGTGGAGTCCTCCAGGGCAGCCACAGCAATGTCCTGGGTTCTGACAGGTTTGTGTTCACTGACCTGGCTGTTGTGGGCTGTTGTGAACCTGCCTGGGACAGTGGAGCATTTCCCTGCTGAGTCCTAAAGGAAAAAGGAGAGAACTGGAAGTGGAGTTGGAGAGAAGCCTCAGCATTCAGTCCCACAGGGCTGAAGTGCTTTTACTGGCAGATCTGGGAGGAAGTGCAGCTGTGAAAAGCAATCCCTCCCCTTTTTTTTTCCTTTTAAAAATAAGACTCATGATGGAGCTTAATACAAGCCAGCCCCACGATTTGGGGCTACAGCTTGAGAGCTGAGGGTTTATTTGAAAGGAAATATTTGCAAAATGAAAATTTTAATGACTGTCATCTTGAGAAACTGAGTTTTGCAATGATTCTCCTGTAAACATATGGATTGGGAGTGTTGTTGGAAGCCAGTTAGAACACAAGGGGTTTTTATAGCTTACAGTTATTGAAATTGCTCTGATTATTTGAAAATGGAGCTTTCTGAGAACCTGCTGCACTGTTCAGATCTTGCTGTTATTTTATACAAACTACAAGATCAGTTAAACTGTGGCAAGGGCAAGAAAAAAAGTGGATTTTTGGGGAAACAAGGAGTGTTTCCCACCTTGTTCCAGTGTGTATTTTGGTTTTTAGTGTGACATTCCCTGGAGATCCCTGTTCTGCCATGATATGTGCATTTCTTCTGGGACAGACAGCTGCCAGTGGCAGAGATGTGCCACTGAAATCCATCTCTGGTGGCAATTTGTGCCAAAGCATTTGGTGACAAGGGGAGAATTTATAATTGGTGACACTTCTTGTAACCCAACCTGTCCCACTCTGGCAGAACTGGGGCACTGGGGTTATTTCAAAGGTGTCTGCACCACATCTGACTCTTGTCTCCCAAAATCTGCCCAAATTGATCAGGGGGGGTTGAGCTGCTCTGTTTTCTGTCCCCACCAGAGATGTCCTGGTAGCTCTTGAGCTGCTCTGGGCAATGTTAAAGCAACTGATTTCTTTTCTGCTTCTGTCTTGCAGTTGCTCTGTTCTTTCTGCTCAATTTCAGTGTTTCTGTGTTTCCCTCAGGTGGTTTCATTTTCTCTGTGCATGTGTGTCTGTGAAAATTGGGAATTCCCTTGCTATTTCTATACCATGCATGTAAAAATGTTCAAAATGTCTTTCCTAGTTCTGCTTTCCTGTGCCTGTCTCTGAATTTCCTTAGGTAAACTCAGGGCAGGTTTAGTGTCTCTGATAGCAGAAATAGTGCTTTATACTGCCCTAAGCAGGGCTTTAATGAGCCTCTGACTAATGAACTGCAGTAATTTTAATGAAACAGCTCCAGAACTGTCTGGGAGCTGGGGAAGTGCAGCTGAGTAACAGCTTTGTCCAGTGCATTTGCTGGGAGATTTAAACAAAAAAAACCAAAGAACTTGCAGAACAGCCTTTCTGAATTTTGTTGTGATTTTCTCTTTCTTTTCTTTTCTGCTCCTTGAATTTGCCAGTTGAATGCCATGGCCAACAGAGCTGCTGGGAAGGGCTATGAGAATGAAGATAATTATGAAAACATTCGTTTTAAATTCATTGGCATCGAGAACATCCATGTGATGAGGAGCAGCCTGCAGAAACTGCTGGAAGGTGGGTGCAGCCCTGGGGGGCTTTGGACAGAACTTCTGCCAAACATCCAAACATTCTGTGCACAAACCTGTTCTGATGGAAGCACAGTCAGCATCTTGCTTTGTTTGCTGCATTCAGGTGGCTGAAAGTGTTAATGCTGCTAAAATGCCTTTCCTGCTTGACATTTGCTTTGTTCTTGGTTTTAGAGTGGTTCAAAAATAGCAACTAGTACTAAAAGCATTCCTTGATGAATGTGATAAATTAATAGAGAAAGGTTATAGAAATATTGCATTTTACAGCTAAGCCAGTCTCATTGCTGCTTCATGACTTATTGAAGGGAAACCAACAGAGGTTGTTCAGAAATGCTTTTTGGGGTTTGCTATATTTGGATTATTGACAGTATTTCTGAGTTGAGGTGCATGATCTTCCAAAGAGAGTCTGATACATACTTGGTTCTGACTTTTCATTTATTTCTGATTCCTTTTAACCAAACTCCTTTACAGTGTAGTAAATTAATGTTTTAATGTATAAATGTATGAAAATGCAGAGTAATTAAGTTCATTGTGATCATAGGGAGGAATGCAAAGCACAGCAAAAAAGTCACCTGAGATTGGGAATTGAGAGGGTAACGAGGCCCAGGGTTTCACCAATAGAATTTTGGACAATTTTGCAATTCCAATCCTCCAAAATGGGAGTTTAATATTTTAGTAAGCACCATAATGCTCATCTTTTTTCCAAAATAGTTGGGTAATTGGTGCTCCCAGGTGGCCCTGCAGGATCCATGGTGACCCTGGACACAAATGGGGCTGTTCCCCCCAAAGGAGTGGCCTGATCACAGCTCTGAGTCCTCAGCTCCTCTTCCTGACAGATTCATTGTGTGCTGGGAGAGGAGGCAGAATAAAAACTTGTTTGCTCCCATGTTCTTCTCCAGCAGTGATAAAATCTCATTCACTGGGGCTTGTGGAGTGTTCTGAACTTTATTACTCCAAGTGTTTTCTGTGCTGGCTTTCATTAGAGCAGCCGAGTTGCCTTCAAGGTTAGATTTGTTATTTCTGCCTCTAAATTAGAGAGAAATAACTTCAAACCTTTGGCAAGTCAGTGAGTGGTGGTAGATGTGATGGTGATTTAGAGTGAAGCCACAGCTCTTTGCTGGAAAAACCACAGCTGAATAAATAATGAGTTTGGCTGTTTGCTTCTAGTGCAGGCTTTTTCTTAATTTGCAGCCATCTCTGCCTGAATTCAGGGCAGTCTGTGATGTTTCTTTCCATTCATCTCTGGTTAAATACCTGAGGAGCTGC